CACGCCCCGCCTCGCCTCGCCAGGCCCCGCCACGCCCCGCCATGCACGCCTCGCCACGCCTCGCCCCGCCACATCCCGCCACGCCCCGGGCTGCCACGCCACGCCACGTGCTGCTCTCGGCTCAGTGCGCATCAACGGAGGACGACTGCTCCGACTGTGAGGAATAAAGTAGATTCCGTAGCTTCAGGTCTTCAGGTGGATTTATAAGCCTTCTCCGTCGCGTAAAAAAAAAAAGAAAGAGTCAGAACAGACAGACGGACGGACGGACGGACTGACAGACAGACAGACAGACAGACAGACAGACAGACAGACAGACAGACAGACAGACAGACAGACAGACAGACAGACAAATTGAGAGAGTTTTCATGACGTCGGAATGGGAAGAAGGCGAGCCCGTGCGTGCCTGCGGCCCGGCCCCACCGTTTGGTGATTAGTAAACTTGAGAGGATCACAAGGGGGAGGGATGGGAGCGAATATTTCTTTGAAAAAGTTCTTCGCCGCAGCGGCTGGCTGCGGCTGGCCGGGGGCGAGTCAGCCCAGGCACCGGCCCCGGTAACTAGAGCGGTGGCCGCCGTCGGGAAACAAAAATGACTGCGCGGGTGAAGTGAAGTGATGGGTTTGAGTTTCACTTCGACACTCCAAATGTTTGGCCGTGGCTGGCGGGCGGAGAAGTTTGTTTTCCTGCACTATCGGGGATTTCTGGCGTCGGCAGTTCCGCGGGATCTCTCGGAAAGGCACACGCTGATTTTCAAAAGACGTGGCGCGCGTCTTTGCCTGAGCGGTGTCGCGTCAAAAGCCTCTCCCAATTTGTGCAACAATAATAACGACCGCGTCTCCGGCAAGCGCGCCCTGACAAAGTGTCGCGTTGTCGGCTCGCCCATCATTTTGTGGGACACCACCACGCCGGGCACAAAAGCAAAGCCTGCAGAATCCCCTCGGCAGCGCGCGGCACTCCCTCGGCCACCCCGCCCCGCCCCGCCCCGCCCCGCCCCGCCCCGCTCTACCACGCCCTACCCCGCCCTTCTCCAGCATGGCCAACAATGGTCCAGCAGGACGGCCCGCCCGGCTCCGCCCCCGACCCCTGACCTCGCTAGCACCGTTTGCAAATCCAAACTGTTCATAACTTCAATATTGCAGCTCCCCGCTGACGCAGAGGAATCACGGGCCGCGGGCACAAGCGCGTGTTGCGGGGTCCGAAATACGGGATCGGACCGGATCGGACCAGATCAGAACTCCCCCGCGCGAGGGCTCACCCTCCAACTCCCTATCTGCACATCTGAATACACTCCTCTCTCGCCCTTGCCGGCTCCTGCTCTTTCACGGCCGAGCGCCGCCCGTAAGCGTGTCAGAGTGAGCAGCATGAAAGGGGCTGCCGCAGGATGAGAACCCGCTTCTCT